ACATTATAAAAGGGTCGTTTTTGGACGTCTTGGGGACATTATAGGGGGTTGCGAACTCAACAAAAAAAATTTTAAAAACGAGTTTAAATGTTTTTCTTAAAAACCTTCTCCTGGCAATTACGAACAATTAAAATAAAAATTGAGCCACATCGGCTCAGCCGTTTTCAACTGATGAATTGTTATACATTTTTGGCTCAATTTTTATATATATAGAATATAGATATAAAACATATTGTCTTCATTCATTTTGTTTATTTTGGATTAATATGAGTAAAAAAAAGGTGTATTGCCCTCAAACCTATTTGACCATTTACTTGTATATTATTGCACATTTAAGAATATACATAATAATAGAATATTTATAATATGTCATATATATGGAATATAATATAATAATCGAGGGTCGGGACCATGACGCCAATGAGTACCTTAAAAATATTATGTATACTAAGTGCAGACAGTTGTGGAAGAAAAATTATAATTTTCGATAAAATATATTCATTGCGTGGCACATTACCATTGATTGCAACTTATCGTTATGCATAACATTGTCCGTGGATAATTTTTTTTTTACTTTTGTAATACTGCATTGTATATTTGTGCCTCAAAAATATAGATAACGCAGTCCTGCGCTACTTGTAAAATGAAAAAAAGCTAAACGTTTTACACTCGTCCGTAACAGCAGTGCGTGAAGTGCATAATAAAAATGTCAAAGATTTTATGCTAAGGAATAATTAGAAACTTAACCAATACCGTAAAAATGTAGGTGTGAGTACTTTGTTTATGTATACCACACTCCATTACACTGAATTACGAAAGTATTAAATTAGTGCAACATCGTTATCTAGCTAGGTATTATATTTTCGTGTGGTTTAATAGATAACAGGTGCTATTAATATTTGATAACATTGTAGAAATTTAAAGTATAACTCAGTCAGACTACCTACGTGATCAATCACATGGTAGAACAGTATCGCACATATTAATATACAGTATTTGTTTATAGAGAATATATAAATTACATGGTGTAGGCCACTTAACAGATTATGTATTTGTATATTTTGTTATTTGTGCATGTGTAGAAACTTAAATTAATTTGAAATTTAAAATTTAAACTTATTTTCGGCAAGCAATTTACCTAAGTTATTTTGTTAGACATTATAAAAAAAAGTAGGTACTTGACAAATTTCTCTAAACATACAGTTTGGTATTATAGGCGATGTAAAAAAAAATCATGTTTTAAATGTACAATACTTTTTAAAAGTGTGTTGGGAAAAGCAAAAAAAAAATAAAGTAAGAAACAATGAACATTTTTACTCAAACCCAGTTTTTGACAAAAACGATTTTTTTTTATTCGTGTAACTCAAAAACTCAAAAAAGATATTACCTCGGAATTAATAACAATATTATAAATAAAATATATTATACGTTTCTCAATTATTAAGATTAATCAAAGTTACAACATTGTGATGTTGATACTTGTTAGTTGTTAGTAAACCAATTGCGCTTAAAATGCCCTGTTAAAGTACCAATTATGCTCAAAACATTTTAGGGTCGATAGCCCAATTATTAAAAAAGATCCATAATATAACGTCAAACCACTTAAACGAATACTTAACAACTAAAGAGATACGTTTCAATTAGTATACCTACTTTTGAATTATAAATGAATGAAAATATTGTACATATATAGGTATCTAGTATTATCATTGTGTTAATAATTAAGTATTTTAATAATGATATTAACAACATACCAAATAGACTGATAAATAGGTACTTAACGATAAATGATAATGAAAATTTGTTTCGTCTATCACTTAAACGCATACATTAGAATGTTAATAATAATGAAATATACATACTTCATAATATATGAGCATGGATATAATCATAAATTATTGGTAGAAAATCAACTATGAACAAAATAAATGTTGTGTTTTTTGAAAATTAAAAATAATAAAATGTACTTAACTATATAGTCACGAAGTAATCAATTTATCAATATATGAATTTTAATTTCCAATTAATAAATTATGATTCTTAAACCTATAATATATTCATAAATATAAAACTTGAAATAAAACTAAAAGGCAAGAACAAATTGACGTATTGACCGTATAAATAAGGATCCCAATAATTGGTAAACTGACCCTAAAATAATATTTTTTTTAGAATCAACTAGTCCATGCTCACGATGTTATCGAATTTTACTCTCTCTTTATAATAAGATGTACAACACTACATCACTGGATACTGATAACAGCCAAAATATCAGCTAAATAATTGAATATTTGGAGGAAAATGGAATCCAACCTTTTTTGGTGGAGGAAAATAGATCCAACAAAATTTTTCAATCATCTTAGCACACATTTCCAAACCTATGATCATGGATACATACATCATGGATAGGTACCCAATATAAGTTAAGCAACTGAAAAATGACTTATTAGATTTTTTTTTTAGATATATAAAAATGTTCATATTATATTTTCATCGGCTTAATAGTTTAATTAAAAGACAAAAAGGGTGATTCTCATTTGAAAAAAAAAATTTGTAAGCCCTCAAAACACTAATTAAATGGTGTACAAATCCAAGTATGTGAAATAAATATGGGAGGTACTTTAATATTCCTACTTAAAAATTCCAAAAATTAGAATTTGAATAAATTTATTATTATTATTCAAGGAAAAATTAATAGCGGTAATCATGCTTCGTTAAACACTCTACTTAAAATATAATATATCAGACATGATTATCCACAAAAATATATGAAATTAACACCTAAATGGAAATCATAATTACGATCAATTATAAGTTTATATACACATATATACTTTATACTTAACTTATTATGTATTATGGTGTAACCTTGCTTAACATTACAATGCTGCAAACAATAAACTAAATTATTATCTGCATAATTATTACACCAAATATTCGAATGTATTACAATTTTTAGGAAACCATTTATAAAAATATGATATTTTATAATATATATGTAATATACTTATGTTGTAAAGTCATATGTAACATAATTACCTAAGCCATTGCTACGAAGAGTCGTTTTAGTCCATTAACATTAACACAATTAACACTTATTTATTTAATTCATGTTAAATATAACTATATTCCAGTAATGAGTCTTAACAGTATAAAATTAAAAGGGCTTAATAATAATAGAAATATTATCATCGACCAATTAAAAAACCCTGGGAAGTTGTTGTTCCGCTGTCGATCGACTGTCGAGGCCTCGAGGCAGTAGTGAGGATGTGTTCAATTTTAATTCAGTGATTAACTTTTTTGTTTAAGATTTTCAGGGGTGGAATTTGCTTAAAAATAATCAAATTATTTTTAAAGTAGTATTATGTCATAAAGGAAGTCTAATAGTATAGTAAAAGTAGGCAATAATGAAAAGCTTCAAGTCCCTGCGAATAATATTTTTTTAGTAACAACAAAATAATTAAAATCGTATTACCTATAGACGTATGCAATTGTAAGATTTTTGTAGTTTTTAATTTTTTTTAAGTGTATTTTAATCTCCTTCAAAATATTTGTAAATAATAAACAATTATTATTTATGTTCGAATTTTTGTGTAGTAAATATTTTATATAGGAACATGGTACCCGCATTATATTTTATTATTAAGGTACTAAATTATTAATAAATTGTAGATAAATTATTGATCAGTTTCAGTTATACAGTATAAATGAGGTATAGCAGCCTGCTAGGTCGTCTGCCAGAATCAGACATTCTCGATCTCGAGTCGTGTCCATAAGTTGAACTCAGCCCAACTCTGAAAATTCCCCGGTAGATCATGGTTAATGAATGATACCGTGATTACAGTGGACAATCAAAATACGATAAAAGCACACGACACGACAAACGACGTAGTGTGAATGTGTGATAAATATGATAATCGCCTTATCGATGTGATCGTCTATCGTAGGGTTGCCATAAAAGTTCAAGTACTGACCGGGACATTTACAAAAATAATTTGAACCTTTTTTTTTTTTAATATTAAAATTTAGAACACAGTGTAATGAATATATATATAATATATAGAATAAAATAATAATAGTATTGAATTATGAAAGACATTAAATTAGAAGATACATTTGATTAACGAAATATTATTTATTTATTTTGAAATATTATATTTTTCTGACTTTTTCACCTGTTTCAATAGCTCTGGTTTTCCCATAGCATACGTATGCAATTCAACGTGAAATTCATGGTTTTAGAATACAAATATAATTTTTATAGAAACATAATTTAATATAATTATTGGTACTAATATTATTTACACATAACCGGGACTTTTGTAGGNAAACATAATTTAATATAATTATTGGTACTAATATTATTTACACATAACCGGGACTTTTGTAGGGTCTAGTGGGACGACCGGGACCGAAGTCATGAACTGGTGACATGTCCCGGTGTACCGGGACGTATGGCAACCCTAAGAGTCTATCGTTATATTCTTCACACTTGGTCGTTAATCGTTTTTATACAGATCATGAAGATTCTGGACAAATTGTATAATGATGTGAATTCCGTTTATGAATATTGTCGTTCACAAATAAAAAAGCGATAATACAATAATGGTAATTAAATATATCTTACGAACGTTTAATGTTTACCAACAACGTCCGCATTAGCTGTGCACATTCTTTAAATTAATGAAAACATAATGATACGTCATCACATCACAATATCACATCGTCAAAACAATTCGGCAGTCGTGGTGTCGTAGATAATAATAATCGACCTGTGCAATTACAAAACAACACGGACGTAAAATATACGTACTATGTATGTCCGTGCAAAACACTTTCCCCGTCCCCTCCATGACCGAGGTATAAGGACGTTCGAGGCCTTGGCGGCGATATCATTCCGACGACAGCGTTAACGCGGTTACGGTAGCAGTGGGGTGGTCGTTCAACATATGTTTAGATAACAAAGACCAAAGATAACGGCGATGTTATTGTTGTAGTAAATGATTTTCTCAGAGCCGTGTATACTGTATACGCGTAATACCGTATACGCCGTAAAGTTTTTGTAGCGGACTAGCGAACGATATCAAATTGTCAACTGGTCAACTTAATGAATAATAATATTCATAAATCATAATATCTCATAAGGTATCGCCAGTGCCATTGTCGATTGAAAATTTTCCCGCCTCCGAAAACTGTTCTCGAGACGACGTTTGCGTCCTGGAAAAACGGTGGACCCGTCGTCGGCCAACTAGCTGTAGTCTCTGTGAGGTTATGCAACAGACGACCGACGTGGAATCCGTCTTAAACCGCTAAATAATAGAACGCGAGACCGTCGCCATGTCCAAGACGTCCGGTTCGGCCGCGTCCGGCTCGTCATCGTCGTCGCAGCAGCAAGCGTCCGGGGTCGCCGTTGTGCCAGCCGAGGACAATTTTGACTTTCTGTTCAAAATCGTGCTTATCGGCGATTGTGGCACTGGCAAGACATGCGTCGTTCAGCGTTTCAAGAGTGGTACATATGCCGAGAACCAGGGCAACACCATCGGTGTCGACTTTTCCATGAAGACCATCAAAATCGACGGCAAGAAAGTCAAAGTAATCAATTCGCCTCTCCGTCCTTGATGCCGTGCAGCCTTGCATAGGTGTCCATAATAACTATAACACCTTAAGGCTTACTTACTGTAGTTTTATGTTACAGCTCCAGATATGGGACACGGCCGGCCACGAGAGGTTTCGAACAATCACACAGAGTTACTATCGCTCAGCTAATGGAGTCCTACTAGGTAAGACTTGTTGACATCACTATACAGTTCGATTCACCACTTTGTCATTATATTATTATTATGTTTTACAGTGTATGACATTACAAAACGTGCTACTTTCCTGAATTTACAGAGATGGGTAGAAGAAGTACGACGATATACTTCTTCTAATGTCTTGCTGGTGTTGATTGGTAAGTTTTTATATTGTTATCTGTTTTTTTTTACAGTGAGTACTACTCCTGTAAGTGATGTCCCTTAATTTCTTTGTAAATAATTTATCGCTTTAGAAATGTACCGAACAATAGGTATTCATTCCAACTTATAACAGTACTGAAGCTGTTTGATTATTAATAAATACAATATGCTCATAAAGAAAATAAATTTAAAAATCAAAATAATACTCAAAATTAAACCTAAAAAACTTATATATAATGAAAAGGTTAATAAAAATAAAATTGTATATTGATATAATATATATTTAATACTTAAAACATCTTAAGCGAGGTTCAATTTTTTTTTAATTGATTAAGTTTGAAATACTTATTGAAATTCTTTGCAATGCCAATAATGTCTGGGTACCTTCATTATGTCATAAAAATATGTTTTATATAAAAACCTCTTGTGTAAGTTATTAATACATACAAACTACAAAAAATAGTGACTAACCTATATGATCTATAATTTTACAATAAATTGGTCATTGTGATCAATTGTCGTTCAGTGGAATGATTGCAATTGATTGTAGTGTGAATTATTTACAATCAATCGATGCGTAACCTTTTGAAGTTGTCACAGTAGTATGATTCACCCTCTAACAACTAAAACTACACTCACTCATTACACTTTTCAATCTATGTAGGTAACAAATGTGACCTAGAGGAAAACCGCCAGGTGGAGTTGTCTGAAGCAGATGCAATGTGCGAATACTTTCCTGAACTATTGTCTGTGCTAGAAACGTCGGCTAAGGAAAATAAAAACATTGAAGAAGCATTTGTCACAATTGCTTCTGAACTTAAGGTAAGTGTAAGCATTTTATTATTTGTCAACAGTTCATTCAATAAGAATTTTTACAGAGACGTCATGACCAAAGTGCTCATATTGAAGATGAACCTAATCCTGTCATTAACTTGAGTGAAGGCGAAAATGTTCAAAAATGTAAAGGCTGTACTTTGTTATAAACTAACATTGCAACACAGCACTATAGAACAAATCAATATTTGATCATTATTATTCTAAAGCCCGATGACGAACATGCATAATTAATTAATTATGCGTTCATAATCTTAAGGTAACACACTTGTTTAATATGAAACCTTTAAAGTTTTATTTAGATTGTATTTAAAAATAAAAATTTATGAGGATAGAGACAGATCATCCCAGAATTTATGTACACGTTTATGATCCGCGTTAATAATGTATTTAATTTTATCTTTCTTAACTTGCAATAATTATTCATGTACTTGAACCTCACTTTGTTAATCATTCAATCATGTACTATAATATAATATTAAATAAGATTCTCGAATAGTTTTATGGGGGACCATGGTCATAAGTGTTTTTTTCAAGTATCTCACAAGGTCCACAGATGTATCTTACTTCGAAATTATTTTTATCAGTAGATAATATAATATTGTAGAATATCAATGGTGGTATTTATTTTTTTAGCCGCTATCATATTTTAGGATATTATGTTTGTGATATTATTCATACAACATTTATGTATCCCGTATCGATATTCTGTAAATAGATATACGTCCATATCGAGAATTTTAGCAATTATATTTTTTCTTTTGTTTAATTATGTCATTTACAATTGATGATTTGAATTTATTTTAATTATTATATATATGGTTTTTTCTTCTTAAATTTAGATAAATTTGTCTGTATGATGATTGATTATATATATTTATATGCATATAAATACATATAAGATAATACATACATTTGTATAACATTATTACCATCTTTTTTAAAAGCACCTCTAATAATACGGTGAAGGTATTGAATATTATATTATTTTTTTTATTGCTATGTGTAGTGAGAGTAGGGAAATATTAATAATTCTATTATAATATACTTAATACTAATAACTAGTCACGTGAAAAATGTATGAAATATTTTATTGTAGCAGTTCCTTTCATTGGTTAACAAGTGTTTATGATGATGATAATTTCCCTCTACAAAAAATTGTGATTTATAATGTTTTACGTGAAATGTGTGGTGGAAATTTATATGTACAATATTATGTATCTAAAAAAAATTTATATTGTTTAACTTTTTCAACTTTATAGATGTTTTATTATCAGTACCTAGATATTTTTTTAATTCTACAATATTTTATGTTTTTTTTTTTTAAAGAATTATCTCACATTTTTATTATTATTACTATTATTATTTATTTGTATTTTATTATTTTTTTACCAAAGTCTACATCAGCTGTTGTATACCTGTAATAGTCATATGTGCTGTTTTGTCTTACTTGTATATAGCCATCACGGCTACCAATAATCAGAAAACAAAGAATTAAAATGAGGACTTGAGGCGGGAAATTACATAATATTATAATTATTGTCTTTTTACATTAATATTACAATATTTAATTATATTATATGACTAACAATAAAGAATTTTATTTTTTCCAATATTAAATACTAGAATACTAGATTTGCATCTGATTGATTAAACTAACTATTAAACTTAGAACATTTAGAAAAAGTTGATGATTATGTATTATCATTATTTTAAATATTCTTGCTCACTTGTGAAAAAAATGTTCTTTTTTTTCCTACCTCACCTTCCAATTGTAGAGGTCACTACGATACACTTGTTATCTATATAGTGGCCAATCATAATAATTATATTATTATAGGTATACATCCTATACTGTTTAGTATGCTCACAATCAATGAACATTTACATCCGTATCAATAAACATAATAATATCTTTACTGTATTATTGTTGTTATTATTATTATTAAATATTATTAATTCATTAAAATAATTATTGCACTACTTTAACTTTCTACATAGAACAACTACTACAAACTTTAATTTTGATCTTTTATTATTTTTTATTGTTTATAATCTTTTTGGAGTAAAATCACAAAGAATGCCAAACATCCAAAAACTAGTTTATACTAACTTTACATGTTAATAATATGAATAAAAATAAAATTCTTACTTAATAATATATTATAGACTATTGTAATGTGATAAATTCATATCTTGTAATAATAACTAAAATGATTGTGAATAGACACAGTTTTTAGAAAATATCATACATAAATTGTAAACATAATGTGCTGAGAATGATATTATATATTATGATAATATACTGTGTAACAATAACAATTATAATAATACTATATTTTGATATTTTGTAAATCAAATTTGTTAACATTGGCAATATATTATAGTGTTGTTTGATTATTCAAACCAAAATATGACAATTAGCCTCATCTGTCAATTGTTCATAGAAAAGAAATCATAATAACCAATAAAAAATTTGTATAATTCCGATCTCATTACCTAAAGTATATTTAATATGGACTTATAGTTAAAGTACTTTTGATTGTGCATGATCAGTAAAACAACTTTGTGGCTATGCCAATATGAATATAACATAATAGCATCGATTAAATAATAAATATACTTGTATTTAATCAATGATATTAGGTTGTATAAATACAACCGTAAAAGACATTAAACAATATTATATTTAAATTAGATAGTGTAATGTCTTAGTTATTAACAAGGTTTTACAGATTGAATAAAATAAGTTTTTAATTTATATTAGTGATAATATTGTTATTAAGAGCGTACTCATAATTTTAATTTCAAATTCTAGTGCAGAGTACTTTTCTAAATATTATTATCTACTTTTAATAAACCATATTATTATGGAATATTGGTATTATTTATCATTTAAGGATAGGTATTGTATACTGTATAAGTATATGAGCCGAGTGCCCGAGTAGGTACATTTACTGATGTAACGTGCATTATATTCTTTATTGACTTACTGGCTACGTACCTTTGAGCTATAAATGCTTTTAAAAATAAAAACAAACTTAATTTAAGCCTAAATGACCTTCGTTGTACAAAAATAATAAGTCGTAGTTTTTACAAACTGGTTGTGTTGTATGTACACTTTAATATTGTAAACCATTAAAATCATTTATTTTTTAACCGATTGTACCTATAGGTGAGTAGGTAGGCAACGAGACGTGTTGGCCGTCAAGAGAATCGCTCTGTACACGCATAATGGATAATATATTTAGCCATATGATTATATAAGCACAAATTTCGTTTAATACAATAATTTAATATTGACTGTTGAGTTTTTAAATCTTGTATAGAACAGTTTTAGATAGGTACCAGGTACCTACTACCTAACTTGAGTCGTCCACGGAACGAGCTTTTCAAAGTTCGAAGACTTATATATCTACACAAGTCCGAACACACCAGGACGGCGTGATATAGGTAATGCGATTTAAATAATTAAATATAAGCACTCAACTCGAATGACTTATACTATATCATAATTGATCATAATATTATTATTATCGTGACGAACTACTCACAAATGCACAATGTATACAAATAATAATTACAATAATAATCCGTGTTAGTAGTTTTCGAGAAGATACCTTGATCGGGTCTGGATGTTTCATGCAAACAGCAAGTTGCAATGCTGTTTACTCGTATATGTATAGGTACGACCTACGTGCCCTCAGTCTTGTGAGCTGTAAGGTATTTGAATACTTTTTTTTGTTAGAATACTATTTTTAATACTTTTTGAAAAAATTATTCGAATTTATTGTGTTTTGAATAATTTTTTTGTATTTTTTAATTCATTAAAAAATAATTATTCCAAATCTAAAAATGGTTGAAATTTGTGACAAAATAAATATTGCTATCACATAACGGGCACATTATAATAGTTATAAACAATAGTTTTCTCTTTAAATGAAATATGATTAATCCACGTTAATTTACAAACATTCCAAGACTGACAAATATTAGCGGAAGATAAAAATATATTCCAATAACATTCAAATACTTTTTTGAGTACTCAAATACATATTCAGAATATATTATTTTAAAATTATTTGAGTATATATTCTGAATACTCATTTAGTCGAATGCAAACTAAAAGACAAAAGTATTCTTTACAAGACTGCCCACCGTATAATCGTGGCGGAATAGGGAGAGTGAGTATAGGTACTTACCTACTGGTACAATATTAACTCGACTACTTGAGTACGGATTTCTATAAACTTTGCATGCCTAGAAAAACCTTTCAATTACATTCAAGAAAAAAAAATGCTTAAATGTTTTCTGAAAAGGACATAGGTGAACATGCAATTTGAAATACCGTTATTATCGTATGCGTACGTGCCTATAACGTTATAATATAAGAAATATACCTACCTGCCCAACTGTAAAAAAAAAAAACTTTAAAAAAAAACAATGCAGAGAAATTTTAAAAATGGTCACTGTTAACTATGTAGGTATAATCATATTATAATAAAAAAAAAAACGTTGTAGACAGCCGTTAACCAACATTTAAGTTTTATTATGTTTAACTTGGACAATCATTATTAAAATATAGGTATTATGCGAAAAAGTCGTAAAAAACGAATAATGCATTCGCATAGTTGCATGCTATTATACACACCTATATGCACCTATAATCTATATGTAAATTAACCAAAAAAAGTTTATGCAAGTGCATATTATTATTTTATTTTAAATCCGGGCTCTAGTCTTAACGACACTATTATTGCGATACGTTGTATGTTGGTGGGGTATAATACTCGTATATTTTGCCTTTTTCGAAGTTTTGTTTTTCGGTGGACTTTCCAAACGTGGACGATATTCCTAGTGCGGTCGCCTGATGTAATAAACTATAAACTACTCAGGAGTCTGGAACACTAATTCTAGAGTACCTAGGTATCAAATATATTATATTACTCATTAGTCATTACATTATAAGTAGGTATACCTATTGAAGGTGTATGGACATAAATAGAGTTAGGACGTTGATAACCTAAAAAACACACAAAAATGTCCTAAGAACTTCAAAAAAATTACCTTAAAAATGATCTAAAAAACTAATTAAATAAGTGAAAAAATTGTATTTATAAATAATAATTTTTATTGGAGATATGGGTGTGATAGTAATTTAAAATATGAATTATAAATTATAATATTAATAAACATTAAACAATAGTGTACGTTTACATTTTAAGCATGAGATACAATTATTAAAAATAAATTAAACTTGGATTTAACACTTGCTCTAATCTAAAATTTAAGAAATAGGCCCCACATTGTACAAAAACTACAAACAAATGACCTAAAAGATAACCTAAAAGATGAAAAAATGACGTTATAAACAAAAAAAATTTACATTTATAGCTAAAAATGCCTAAGAATGCAAAAAAATGCAAAAGTCATCAAAATTCCAACTCTAGACATAAAGTAAACACCTGCAATGAAATTGTGGTTATTTATAAAAATAACACTTAAGTTACTTAACATATAATAATATGTCAATATTAAGTGTCTATGCCTTTATAAATAGTAATGATCAAAACAAGACCAAGACCAAGACTTTCAAAATCTTGGTCTTGGTCTTGCAGACCCAGTCTTGGTCCTGGGTATACGCCTTAATCTTGGTCTTGGTCTTAGTCTTGCGCAAGACTCTTGCAAGACTCTTGCTATTTTCACAAAATATAAAAAAAAAAACTAAATATCTACCTATTATAGCTGTGTAGGTTTCTTGCTATGACTTCTATGATGAAACTTATGTCCAATATATTATATAGTATATTAATAATATAAAACAATCAAACAATTTAATTTTTATTATAGGTAGGTACTCGTTTAAAACTTTGCATTTTAAAATACTATGTTTATATTATTTGACTTGGATTTGTATTAGATGAATATAAGTTCCTATTACATTTATAATAAATATCAATAGGCAATATTAGTATTACTAATTACTTATTATTGACCAAAATAACCCATTAAAACTGTACAATTATAATATAAAATATTTATAAGGTTTATTATATTGTTAATAATTATCGTGTATTCCGATTAAATAATATTACTAGAGCAAGGATCTTAGACCCTCACTAAAAAACCATGAAATATGCACATATTATGCATCTAAAAAAATTACACGTCCATATTATACATATTTTTAATTAGTTTAAATTATTTCACTAGGTTCAATTTTCTATGTAGATACTAGATACTTACTTCTAATATTATGACGTATAAAGATAAAAACACAGTTTCGGGTCACATTCTTCATTCAAATGTAATAAATATAATTGTTGACCTTGATTCATGAAAATATTTACTCAAGTGCTTGATTTTTGATGACCTATCAAAATATGTACTAACAACTTAAAATATGCTCTTATAATAAAAAATATTATGCACTGCGAATGCATGAAAGTCCTCGCTCTAAATGAATTACTAAATTATTCTGAGGCAGCTCGCAGCTGACACGAGACATCGTCATTACGACATGTGTAACAGTGTAACCTAGGTAGGTATTATTACTGTCATTTTGTATACAACTGTTATAACCGCACGTGGAGCATAGCCATGCCACATATTTAGGTACCTACCAACAGTACCATCTAAATACACAGGACACGGCGTAGGTAGTGCTCACTTATACAATCTACATCTTAATATTGTAGCATGTAACTAACGACGAACGACACTAATTAATCATAATATATTGACATTTTAACTGCGGGAAATGAGTATAATAGTATACGTAACGACTTACACAATATGATAAATGATAATATGACGTAATACATAATACTATTATAATTAATGATTAATGGCATTATAATAGTAAAATGTAATCGTTGCACGAGCGCCCGCAGGTGGAGAGGGGGGGGGGCGAATGGCCATTGCCCCCTCACCAACCTGGGAATTTTTAACTGCATGTAGGAACTTACATATCAATGTCACTATAACTAATATTAAATTATGTGTAATCATTATCTAAATATAAAAGCATAATATATATATATATATATGAGGGACCACCATACCGTGATGAATGTACACGGGATTGGGGTGCTAAAGCACCCCCCTCCCCCATTTTACGCCTATACCGTCCACGATATTTTAAATATTTAGTAGATTTACCCTGACCTTCACAGAGTATTATGTCTCATTGAATCCTAACTATAAGTTATTTATGTAATAAGAAAAATTATTGTTAATCAGCAATTACCTACATTTTTAATAATATAAATCCTTCGTTTGTAAGCTATAGTAATAGTTTTATTCAGAAAATCCACATATCCTCGTTTACTCCACCGCAAGCCATGCTCAATAAACAAATCAAAACGTGTACGTGTGAAATTTTTTTTCTCGGAAAAAAAAACATAACACTCACAGTTTTTGGAGATGTCGAGACGATCTGGCGGCTGCAGTGTGAACAGTACGAATAAAATCGTGTTGCGTACAATTTTCAAAGTACATATTATTCTATTAACGTCTTGGTCAGGTGAACGGCAGACTTGGTGAAACACCCTGTATACATCACATATACATAGTGACATAGTGTTGATGATAATGTCTGAACAACAATTACAGTAATAACAATACAATATAATACGATGCGGACTGTGCATTGACCTGCGGTACGACCGTTGAGGTGCGCCTACTGTGGACACAATGTGATCGCGATAATATTCATAATAATGACTGCCTATTATTGCGTTATTGTTATTATTATTTACTAAAACTGTTGTAACTGTGCAACACTAATTGAAAAATAACAACATCGTATAATCCACGGTGCAGTATGACGTGTGGTGTGGTGTGCATGTCCAGTAGGTATACCTACGCACGAGTCGAGTTGTGTCCGCCTGTGCGATAAGATTGTAGCAAATATACACACAAATAGTAAGCAAATGCGGTTATTATTAGAGTTGGGATGTTGATGACTTTTGCACTTTTTGCCTTTAATTCTATACAATGCTCTCCTAGCTAAAAATTTGTTCCGTGCTCCCATGATGCAAAATATTTTAATTTTATTATGCATATTTTTGTTTTTTAACGTCATTTTTCAGCATTTTAAAGTCATCTTTTCATTTTTTAGTTCATGTTTTGTAGTTTTTGTACAATGTGGGGCCTATTTCTCAAATTTTAGATTAGAGCAAGTGTTAAATCCAAGTTTAATTTATTTTTAATAATGTTATATAACACTTAAAATGTAAATGTATACTATTGTTTATTAATATTATAATTTATAATACATATTTTGAATTACTAACGCACCCATATCTCTAATAAAAACTATTATTTATAAAGGCATATTTTTTTCACTTATATAATTAGTTTTTTAGATCATTTTTAAGGTAATTTTTTTGAAGTTTTCAGCTCATTTTTGCATTATTTTTGTGTGTTTTATAGGTCACCAACATCCTAACTTAAGTTATTATGTACAAGGTGATTTTTTAAGCATGCTCACGCTACTTTTGTGCTCAATTTGTGCATACATTCAAATTCTGATTTTTGGAATTTTCAAATATACTTGAAGGCCATATTATTTTGTAATGCTATTGAGAATTACCACTTTGGACGTTTCTGTGACGAGCTTGTGTTCGTAGCTTATAGACTCAAAAACAACTTGACTGACTTTGACAAAAGTTTCTCGGGATCAGGGGCTGCTATTCTATGATTAGTGTGTTGCTTCAGAAACACATAATATAACATTTTGGTAGATGGATAGGTGATTGAAAGCTGGGTGATTAATAATTATTTATTAACATAATCAAAAAAAAAAAAATGTTTCACAGTACCTATAATGAGTCATTGCAATTATAATTAATAATTATCATCGTCCAATATAAGGGGGGGGGGTGAAGGAAAATAGTCGAAAATTGAAATTGAAATTTAGTATTTAGAAAATTATGCCATGTCTATACTAATTGCATTTGACAACAATTTCGTGTCTCCGCATTTTTGATGAATGAATTTATGGAGAATGGACCACTCCCCCATTTAAACTTTTAAAGTAGGTACCTATATCGGCTATCACGTACGATTCTAGGGAATAAATGATTTACCGGCACTGTGGGTCATTGGTGTCTGGTAGATACCGTAAATAATAAATAAATAGACCTAAGACTAGTAAGACTTATATGATACTATGCATTTATCACGGAAATGTTCTGCCGCCCGTATTATCGGAACTAACTTCGGGCTCTGTTTACAATGCGCATAATATTGATAGTTATCACGATAATAATAATATGGAACCCTACAGTGTCCATCGCCATAGCCCGTAGGTTGGGTGTAGCCAGTTAAACCCAAATAGCATTGTTGAAGTGCTAACGTCGTGTAAGACGTGTTCGCGTAAGACGTTTTTTCTTGGTCTCGGTGTGTCATGTTGGCCTCGGATATTGGTAGGTACCTAACAGTAGTTTTACATATTTTGCAGCACAGCGCTGGCACCATACGTCCGACATGGGTCGAAATTGCAACTTCGAGGTTACCAGCTGTGGTATCAATATTGACCTACGGAAAGAATGATCCAATTGATCGAAGGAATCAATAAATTGATCGTCCTGCCAATGAGCGCACGCCCTACTTTATTTAGTCTATAATTATATTATCTTTAATATATTGTGTTTTGTTAATTATTATTTACAATATGTTCTCAAAATGTCTTATACTTTAAGTCATATGAACTGTTAGTTGTAATTACTTTCTGTTGTCGTTTATTGTATTCTTTAATTATATTAAATTGTAATTGCACCTTTGGGCCCTGAGTCCGTTATAAATATAAAATAAAATAACATTGAAGGGGGGCTCACTGCAACTCTCCCTGTCGTGTATAGAGTGGAATATATATTCAACTTGCAGGTAACGCGCGACCAACATTTTGTTACCTGTGCATTTAATATACCGAACACTACACGACACGACGAGGTATGTGAATTAATTAATTCATTCTGCAATGGTGGAGTTTCATTTAATTCACACGGTCACTCGAACATCAACTCGGACCGCGATTTAGCAGTGAAAATAATAACGCCTTTGCAGTTCTTAGGTTTTCACAGACATAATACGTGCTGTGCAGGACGTCGACCAGAAGCGAGTACATAACGTTCGAGAAACCAAACCCCGAAAAAAACAAATAAATAATAAACGCGGTTATCAGCACACATACCTGGTAAATACCTTTTAATCATACAAAATTACAGTGAATAATAATTATACGTTTGTACATTCCGTACTCGTAAATGTGACTACGGGGAAAATCTTAGACGGTATTTTCACATTTATTTTAATATGTAGGTATACCTAGTAATTATCTGTACCGGATTTAACTACTGAACAAATTTTTTACAAACGTTCTTTTAAAACTTTTGTATTAATATTATTGAAAAAAAAATCAATATGGAATATTTTAACTTACCTTTCTTTTTAAATACAAACTGATTAATGTTATTACAATATTAAATGTTATACCTAACTAACTATATATAATAATTAGTAACCTAGGTATTAAAAATGTGCTGCCCCTAAAAAATTGCCGCTGAAAGCACGTGCGCGTACTGTTTACCGGGAAATACAGCACTGGTAATAATATAACATTATTGTTTCGCAAGTGACCAATATTATGTCGGCGCAGAAAAATAGCGACTCAGCTCAAAAATCGTCATTTTCGATATTATTACGAACATTTATAGCAAAATACCCACATTTGTATGACGTGCAAGAACGTTCAATAATCCTTAAAATGACCGAAGGATAGCTGTCAAGTCACGTTCTTTTCATTTCAAATTATCACTAATTTGTTATCATGAAAAGTGTCAAAAATCTAATGATTGTGTTCCGGCAGTCAAAGTGACAAAAAACGTTAATTTTAGGCTAAAATGACACAAATTAAAATGTGCCAGTATTATTGAAAATAATTAAAAACATAATTTGCAACAGTGACACAAGTCAAATTAGGACATTGTTTTGTCACTTGTTTCTACAATAAAAAGTTTTTTTTCATCAGGTATTCAATAAATAACGTTGTTATTTTTGTATGCATTTACTAACCATATTATTATTATTATTATTGTAGAAGTCATTATAAAATCGATATAGTGCGATCATAATTTTCAGGAAGAACCTCGTAACTCAAAAAAGGGATGAAAATCAATCAGTTTTGGAGTTGATTCTAAATGTTATCCACACAAAATTGTAATTTTTAGGACGCAAAGTAAACACTTATGTCAATTCCCAAAAGAAATTAAAATTTTTTAAATCCAAATTCATAACGAACATTGCAAGAAACAAAAATCCCTTAACTTTATCCTGTAGTAGGTACTGGAAAATCAACTTTTCTGAGTTTAGTCACTATTCTTGTGCACCGAATTATTATTATCTATATACGATGTATAATGTGTAATATGTAGGTATATTCGATTTAACGGTATTATTAAATTGGTATCTTGGTTAAGTTCAAAGTAATTTTTCCAAAGAGATTTTTGATATAATTTGCGATATAGGTACAAAACAAAACCGACCATGCCCGAAACCACGATTCGCGTGTAAAATATTTTATGTAATAATATTGTTTTACTTTTTACATAATAAAATAATTATGAACACTTAATAGACCACGAGTATCATACTATAAATATTTACCAAATAATAAACCGAGTGTCCGTGTTTGTAATGTAATATATACTATTAGCCCGTGTTTAATAATATTATACATACATATTATATTATTATAATATCATATAATATTTCACTATAAATTTCGAAGAACTATAAAGGTCAATGTATAACACTTTATTGTATATTATATTGGTCTAATAATTACTATGAGTCTAAAAATATTTTGACTAGATGTTTAATAATAAAAAAAAAAATAATAATAATAATATCGAAAAGAGCTATAATAGTATTGATCTTTGACGTATTTTTGTTTGTTTGGTTTTTTTTTTGGAAAATACATAATAATTTATAATATCTATACTACTTATTATAAATTTATATACTTAAACTTTACACATACAATATAATAAAAGACAATGTATTCCTAAGTAGGTTCTATATAATATATAATATAAGGTATGTATATAACTACATGTATAGTATAAATTATCATTATATATATATATATATATATGTACATTGTACAGATCGTTAAGTTAATTTATGTAATGATTCATAAGGACTTCGTCAAGAATGAAAATATTATATAAATACAAATACTTGCATATAATCTATCATTTCTACGTCTTATATTAGGTTGTAAATTAAATAAATCATAATAATATTGATGTCGGTCGAGCCGTCATCGTCTCGTGACGATAACTCAGGGATAATAATATAATTTTTGTCCGATAATACTCTGATAAATAATATATTATATTATTAGTATTATATAATATTAAATTATACGACGCATATTATTATAATATAGCATTATAGCCGGTATAGTTATATATTTTACAAAGGCATACCTAACAAATATTATAATATAATTGTTTTAGTCTGGACGTAAATACTTTCAGGGTATGATATTAAACTATTATAATATTATTATATAATACTACTTCAGTGTTATAATTGTACTTAAATGTAATAATATAGGTAATAATGTATATTGTACGTGAATGTACTTATAGTAGGTATAATATTATATATAGGTGTGTATAAGTCGCGTGATATTATAATATAGGTAATATCGAGATATTAAATTTCGCTAAAATTTATATAATATTATAATATGTGTGTATAATTATTATAGGTATGTATATAATATTAAATAATGTGTATTAAATTTGTCTAAAGGAATCATATCACGTTTCAGATAGTCAGTTTGTCTCGTTCAAATCCCATCGATGAGTACGTTGGATGCGTTCACGTAATTCCAATTGCCGTTGAATACTTCTGAAAAAAAACAATCATAATAAATTTGATTTATTAGTTGAAAAGAACAAACAGTAGGTACTTAAAATCTCGGGAGGTTTGTTAAAAAGTATTAACTACCAAAATACGCAATTATCGTGTATTATTATATAGTATGCCTTCGTCGAAATAAAAAATTAGTTTATAATGTTTTTTTTTGTATATTTCAATAAATAATATGAAACAATCAAAATTAAATTTTTTCTGTAATTAGTGAGCAATGTTTATCTTTAGTTCTTCACTCTTCAGTACTGGAGTCTTATTGTGAACAGATAAAAAGGCTTGAAATATTGCCTATACTCAACCCCTGAGCTACTTTATACTTGAACGACCAATAAAATATGAATTCAACAACTGCAGAAATAAACAGTATACAAAACGTCTTCAAATATTTCATAAAAAAAAGGGTAAGCAAGTGAGTACAGATTTGCTGTGGCCGCTGTGGAAACTTTAGGTGTCATGTTGGTCACTGTAATAAAAGTGTTTCGTTTTAATTCATGATATTAAACTATTGTAGGTACCTATACGAAAAACCATTCTGAGCAAAGACGGAATTTTGATAAATTTGAATATTTAACAGCTACTCATTAATAAAAAATATCGTGCCTATGTATGTTTATTATTTTTGACAAACCTATTGTATTTAATTTCAAGCTTTTTAACATAGTGAAAAATTGAATATATTATATCAATATTTATGAAACATTTTTTAAAGCCTAAAAATAGCTCAAGAACAGAAAAAATACACACTTGGTGAAAATTTCGTGTACCTACGGCAATNATAGTTTTACATATTTTGCAGCACAGCGCTGGCACCATACGTCCGACATGGGTCGAAATTGCAACTTCGAGGTTACCAGCTGTGGTATCAATATTGACCTACGGAAAGAATGATCCAATTGATCGAAGGAATCAATAAATTGATCGTCCTGCCAATGAGCGCACGCCCTACTTTATTTAGTCTATAATTATATTATCTTTAATATATTGTGTTTTGTTAATTATTATTTACAATATGTTCTCAAAATGTCTTATACTTTAAGTCATATGAACTGTTAGTTGTAATTACTTTCTGTTGTCGTTTATTGTATTCTTTAATTATATTAAATTGTAATTGCACCTTTGGGCCCTGAGTCCGTTATAAATATAAAATAAAATAACATTGAAGGGGGGCTCACTGCAACTCTCCCTGTCGTGTATAGAGTGGAATATATATTCAACTTGCAGGTAACGCGCGACCAACATTTTGTTACCTGTGCATTTAATATACCGAACACTACACGACACGACGAGGTATGTGAATTAATTAATTCATTCTGCAATGGTGGAGTTTCATTTAATTCACACGGTCACTCGAACATCAACTCGGACCGCGATTTAGCAGTGAAAATAATAACGCCTTTGCAGTTCTTAGGTTTTCACAGACATAATACGTGCTGTGCAGGACGTCGACCAGAAGCGAGTACATAACGTTCGAGAAACCAAACCCCGAAAAAAACAAATAAATAATAAACGCGGTTATCAGCACACATACCTGGTAAATACCTTTTAATCATACAAAATTACAGTGAATAATAATTATACGTTTGTACATTCCGTACTCGTAAATGTGACTACGGGGAAAATCTTAGACGGTATTTTCACATTTATTTTAATATGTAGGTATACCTAGTAATTATCTGTACCGGATTTAACTACTGAACAAATTTTTTACAAACGTTCTTTTAAAACTTTTGTATTAATATTATTGAAAAAAAAATCAATATGGAATATTTTAACTTACCTTTCTTTTTAAATACAAACTGATTAATGTTATTACAATATTAAATGTTATACCTAACT